CTGGAGGGTTTTTTGTCATCTTCTGGATGTGGAACAGGGGTCACTGGGGGGGTGTTGGAGGGGGAGGTGTTTGTGAATGTCCTGCATTGTGCAGGGGGTTGGACTAGATGACCCTGGAGATCCCTTCCAACTCTATGATTCTACGTGTATCTAGAGAGGGTGCTTTTCAGGAGAAAGGTGAGATAGGACACTTCTTAAAACAAAAAAACTGATCTCTTTTTAGGGCAGCCAACCTCCAGGTAGAAATCCAAAGACAACATCTGTGACAAAAATAATGAAGAGTCGATAAAGATATGTATGCAAAATCATTTACTGTAGTAATTCTGTAGAAAATTCTGTTATCGCTCACACACAACGGTCTTAACCTGGGGTTCTGTTATTAGAAAGTCAACATGGGATGTTTCTTTCAAGAGTTGATAAGTAGAAATTGATAAGAATTGTGATTGCTACACGCTCAGATAAAGCAATTCTCGGGAAATGGGTTTGTTTATATTGCGCAGTATTCGTTGTGTTATGTGAGCGATAACAGAAGAGCATTTTCTACAGAATTACTACAGTACATGATTTTGCATACACATCTTTATTGACTCTTCGTTATTTTTGTCACGGATGTTGTGTTTGGATTTCCACCTCCACCCGTGATCTCTCATTTTTGGTTTCAACCTCCAGGCAGAGCCTGGAGATCTGGAATTACAACTGAGAATACAGGGATGAGTTTCCCTGGAGAAAATGGCTGCTTTGGAAGGTGGACTCCATGGAACTTTCTTCCCGGGGAGAGTCATCCATCCCCTTCTGTTGCCATCTCCTGCCAGCGAGCAGAGACTGTTTCGTTTCATTTGGAGTTTCCCCTATGAGCCTTCCTTCCTAACCAAGGTTTTTATTGTTTCTACACAATTTGACTGTTTTATACAAATGTTAACTCTTGTTTTTAAACTTTTTTTTTTTTTAAAGTCATTTTGATGAGGAATTTTGGGGGCGGGGGGTGGAAAGTGCTGTGAAGTCACAGCAATTTATGACGACCCCCAGGGGTCATTTCCTGTGGAAGCGCACAGGAGCGGAGCTCCAGCAGTAAGGAGCCCAGGGGGCGGGCACATGCAACAAGCCCCGCCCCCTGCTCCCAGCAGTCCTCAGTCAGGCCACGAGGAGCAAGAAGCAGCCAGGTAAGTTGCAGAGCCGCCCCCCCCCAGCCCGCCTTCAGGTACAAGCTCTCCCTCCTCTGTGAGGGCAGATCTGCACGTCCCCCCCCCAATAGCTAGCAATCCAAAACAGTCCAGTGGAGCCTGAGCGGTGGGTGTTGCCTTCTGACACACTTCCGGTGATGTCAGGGGGTGTGGCCTATGCAAATAAGTTATGCTAATGAGTGATGCTAATGAGCTCCTGCACCTCTTTTTCTACGGAATGACCCCTGGCGACCCCAGAGGGCTTTCGAGGCAAGAGGCAGTCAGAGGTGACTCCCCATTGCTTGCCTCTGCTTTGCAGTCCTGGACTTCAAGGAATGCCTGGAGTTCCCCCAGCCAAATAGTAACCAGGGCTGACTCTGTCTTAGCTTCCAAGATCTGACAAGATCAGGTTAGCCTGGGCTATGTTTCTGGTGTGTGTGTGGGAGAACTTTAATGCTTTTATAACGTATTTTATAATGTATGTTTTAGGGTTGCCAAGCGATAGGCCAGTGATGGCGAACCTTTAAGAGACCGCATGCCCAAACTGCGACCCAAAACCCACTTATTGATTGCAAAGTGCCAACACGGCAATTTAACCTGAATACCGAGGTTGTACTTTAGAAAAAAAACAACTCATACATTAACATAAGATGATCCAAACAAAGTAAGGAAAGCCATCCCAAAGGCTTTCATTGACTTAAAATTATTTGGCAGAGAAGTCGACACTTTAATGATGGTCTGGGCCTGGCTGGGGCGATGGCACCCGTGCCCACACAGAGGGCTCTGAGTGCCACCTCTGGCACCCGTGCCATAGGTTCGCCACCACTGCGATAGGCAAAGCATGGAGATTCCCCCAGAATTAAAACTGATCTTCAGGCAAGAGAGATCAGTTCCCCTGGAGGAAATGACTGCTTTGGAGGGCGGACTCCATGACATTATACCCTGCTGCGGTCCCTCCCAGAGACCCAAACGCCCCCCTCCCCCAAATCCCCAGGAGTTTCCGAAGCTGGAGTTGACAACCCTAGACAGGTGAAGGTCAAGGTTTCCCTTGCTCAGAAGCCAGTTGAATCTGACTCTAGGGATGCGGTGCTCATCTCCCATTTCCAAGCCGAAGAGCCAGCGCTGTCCGAAGACGTTTCCGTGGTCATATGGCCGGCATGACTAGACGCTGAGGTGCACGGAACGCTGTTACCTTCCCACCGAAGCCGTGCAATTTCTTGCTTTCGACCTGCTCTGTTGACAGGAGCAGGAACGAGAGATGGGAGCTCACTCTGTCACGCGGCGCAGTGGGTAGCTGTGTTGGTCTGCAGCAGCAGAGCAAAGTTTGAGTCCAGTGGGCACCTTTAAGACCAACAAAGTTTAATTCTGGGGATCAGCTTTCGTGTGCATGTATCTGGAGAATAGGTTGCCAACTCCAGGTTGAAAAATTCCTGGAGATTTTGGAGGGTGCAGCCTGGGGAGGGGAGGGAACTCGGCAGGGTACCATGCCACGGAGTCCACCCTCCAAAGCGGCCATTTCCTCCTGGTGAACTGATCTCTGTCGCCTGGAGATCAGTTGTCATCCCAGGAGATCTCCAGCCACCACCTGGAGGTTGGCAAGTCTACAGGGTGCATGCACACAGAAGCTTATACCCGGAAGAAAACTTTGTTGGTAAAGGTGCCCACTGGACTCGAACTTTGCTCTCTGTTTTAAATGGTTGACCGCCTTGGTGGCCCCTACAACGGCAGAAAAGCAGGATATAACATTTGTAAATCGTAGAACCATCGAGTTGGAAGAGATCTCCAGGGTCATCTAGTCCAACCCCCTGCACAATGCAAGAAATTCACAAATACCTCCCCCTCCGCACCCGCAGTGACCCCTGTTCCACGCCCAGAAGAGGTGGGGGGGGGACCCTCCAGGATCCCCAGCCAAACTAGGGTTGCCAGGTTTGGGTGGGAAAACACCTGGAGACTTTGGGGGTGGAGCCGGGAGAGGGTGGGGTTTGGGGAGGGGAGGGGCCTCAGCATGGTCACAATGCCACAGAGTCCACCCTCCAAAGCAGCCATTTTCTCAGAGGAGCTGATCTCTGTCGGCTGGAGACCAGTTGTAGAAGCGGGAGATCCCCAGGCCCCCACCTGGAGGCTAATACAAAAACTGAGGGTCAGTGTTAGGAAAAGACATCCAAAAATATAGATCACTGTGTACAATAAATATATGCTTATGGTAAAGCAATTTTCTGCTTTACTCTTTTTATATTTTTCAATACTATTGTCTAACTATTGGTATAAAATGTTATCAAAAATATACTCGATGTATTGTTTGGGTTAACCATATTTTTCTCTACGTATTGTTCGGGTGAAATATGTATTTTGATAACACTTGATGCCACTATTTAGATGACGGCGCTGAAAAATATAAAAAGAAAAAGAATAAAGCAGAAAATTGTTTTGCCATCTCCCTTATAAATAAAAGCTGAATGGTGGTGGCACTTCTCTAAAACATTCCACACGCTCCAAAATCAGTTCGCTCTCTGATCTGTCATTCAGAGGGTCTCCCTATCCACTGGCTGCTTTGCCTGAGTCCTGCCTCCAACATTCTAAACATTTTGCTAATCCTCTCCCCACCATAGCCAGTCAGAACACAGAGGTTATTTGCATATGCAGTCTCGTTGGCCTCTGCCTTGGAACACAGAGGTCGTTTGCATATGCGACTTGATTGGCTTTTGCCTCTAACATTCTAAGCAGTTTTGCTGTTCTGAGGCAAAATGTGTCCAATCTCCAGGTGAGGGCTGGAGATCGCTCAGAATTACAACTGCTTTCCAGATGGCAGAGATCAGTTCCCCTGGAGAAAATGGTGGGCTCTGTATCCTTCTATGCTGCTGAGGTGGCCCCCGTATGACAGCCAATGTGACGTAGCACTCAGGGCTTCAGAGCACGGGGGAGGCTGCAGGTGTGTGTGGGGTGGAAAGCTGAAGAGTGAGGAGGAAATAAAGGTAGGTTGATAATTGGCTGGGGAGGAGATAGGGTTGCCAACTCCAGGTGGGAAATTCCTGGAGATGTGAGGGATGGAGCCTGGAGAGGGTGAGGTTTCAGGAGGCGTGGGACCTCAGACAGGTACAAAGCCATAGACTCCACCCTCCAAACCAACCATTCCCTTCTGGGGAACCACTCAAAACTACAACTGTTCTTTAGGTAGCACAGATCAGTTCCTCTGGAGAAAATGGTGGACTCAGTGTCATTATACCCTGCTGAGGTCGCCACAGCAAATTGGCACTGAGTGTCCAAGGCCGGGGCACCCGCCCAGAGCCTCTTTCTAAAGGCCGTTGTATTTATTTCCAGAACGGGACTTTTTCCTAGTAAGCATATCTCTATTTGTACCCAAGAAGAAGAAGAGATTGGGTTGATTTATACCCCCTGCCCTTCACTACCCAGAGGAGTCTCAGAGCAGTTTACAATCTCCTTTCCCCACAACAGACACCCTGGGAGTTAGGCGGGGCTGAGAGAGCTCTTGACAGAAACTGCTCTTTTTCAAGAACAGCTCTGACGGAACTATGGCCTGCCCAAGGTCATCCAGCAGCTGCATGTGGAGAAGTGGGGAATCAAACCCAGCTCTCCCAGATTAGATTAGATAACCACTACACCAAACTGGGTATATATATATATACCCAGTGATAGATATATTTCTGTATGGCCGCTTGGGGAGGCCAAACCGGCCTGGGGGAACAATGGCTTCCTGGCCGCAGCGGGGCGCTCCGCATTTCCCTGGGCCTGTCAGAGCATTCAGTAAGCCATCCCCTCCTGAGGCCCCTCCCCCTCAGTAAACCCCGCCCTCCTCAGGCTCCACCCACCCCCCCAAATCTCCCGGAATCCCCCAACCTGGATCTGGCAACCCTGCTTGAGAGCCTGCCCACCTCAGACGGGCTCCCGGGGAGGGCCGCAGCCCGTCCGCCTCCTCACGTGACCGAGGCGGCCCGGCCTCCCTTCCGCCTGGGCCGGGCCTGAGGAGGAGGGCGGCGGCGTCCGTAGCATCGCGGCTCCTTCCTTCCTACTTTCCCTCCCTCCCTCCCCGCGGCCGGCCATGGCGGCCCACCTGAGCTCGGGCCGGGTCAACCTGACGCTGCTGCGGGAGGCCGGCCGCAGGGAGCTGCGCGAGTTCCTCGACAAGTGCGCCGGCTCCAAGGTCAGACGCAGCCGCCGCCGCAGCGCCCGGGCCTCGTCATCCCCGCGCTCCCCTGAGGCGGCCGCCCGCCTGGCAGGCCGCCTCGGGCGGGCAGAGAGAGGCGCGCCCCCCCCCCCCCCCCACAATTCCCCCAGCCCCCCCCCCCTAAATTGCAGCCCCTCCGTCTTGGGGGCGGCGACGGAGGCCTGGGGGAGCCCCTCCGCTCTGGCTTCTTGGTGGTGATGCGCACTTCGGGGCTGCCGGAGCAGGGGGGTGTCCTGGGGACCCCCTCCCCAAATGGCCAGGGGCTCCTCCTCGGCGGCTGCCCCGCCCCCCCTTCCAGGTTCAAGTTCCCTTTCAGCCATGATGAAGGCTCATATTGGGGGGGGGGGGTCAGTGCTCCCTCTAAGCTGTGGGGTCTCGTGAGCAAAAATTCTATTTTGTGGGCCATCTGGCATTCAAGGTGTGAGGGAGCGAGCGATTGGGCTGCTGCATGAATCGGTTTGCTCTGGAGCCACCTCCTTCCTGAGCCGAGACAGAAATGTGTGAGCTGGAGGCTAAAGAACTGTGAGCTGGCTCACACTCACTCAGCTCAGAGGGAACACTGCGAATGCTCCCTCTAAGCTGTGGGGTCTTGTGAGCAAAGATTCTGTTTTGTGAGCTCCTGGCATGAAAGTTGTGAGTGAGCCATTTGGCTGCTGCATGAATTGGTTTGCTCTGGAGCCACATCCTTCCTGAGCTAAGGCAAAAATCTGTGAGCTGGCTCACACTAACTCAGCTTAGAGGGAACACTGTGAATGCTCCCTCTAAGCTGTGGGGTCTTGTGAGCAAAAATTCTACTTTGTGGGCTCCTGGCATGAAAGTTGTGAGTGAGCAATTTGGCTGCTGCATGAATTGGTTTGCTCTGGAGCCCTTCCTGAGCCGAGACAGAAATGTGTGAGCTAGAGGCTAAAAAACTGTGAGCTGGCTCACACTCACTCAGCTTAGAGGGAACACTACGAATACTCCCTCTAAGCTGTGGGGTCTTGTGAGCAAAGATTCTGTTTTGTGAGCTCCTGGCATGAAAGTTGTGAGCGAGCGGTTTGGCTGCTGCATGATTGGTTTGCTCTGGAGCCACCTCCTTCCTGAGCTAGGGCAAAAATCTGTGAGCTGGAGGCTAAAAAACTGTGTGCTGGCTCACACTCACTCAACTTAAAGGAAACACTGTGAATGCGCCCTCTAACCTGTGGGGTCCTGTGAGCAAAAATTCTACTTTGTGGGCTCCTGGCATGAAAGTTGTGAGCAGGTGATTTGGCTACAGCACAAATTAGTTTGCTCTGGAGCCCTCCTTCCTGAGCTAAGACAGAAATGTGTGAGCTGGAGGCTAAAGAACTGTGAGCTTGCTCACACTAACTCAGCTTAGAGGGAACACTGTGTCCTTTCCTCCCAGCCTAGGCTTCCTCACAGAGTTGTAGGAGAGCCAGCTTGGTGTAGTGGTTAGGAGCGCGGACTCTAATCTGGGAGAACCGGGTTTGATTCCCGCACTCCTCCACATGCAGTTGCTGGTGTGACCTTGGGTCAGTCGCAAGTTCTCGAGAGAGCTCTCTCAGCTCCTTTTCCCTCACAGGGTGTCTGTTGTGGGGAAGGGAAAGGAGATTGTAAGCCACTTTGAGACTCCTTCGGGTAGTGAAGGACGGGGTATAAATCCAATCTCCTCCTCTTCTCTCAGCTGTTCTCTCAGGAGCAGTTCTGGAGAGAGCTCTCTCTACCTCATCTACCTTACAGGGCGTCTGTTGTGGGGAGGGGAAGGGAAAGGAGTTTATAAGCCACTCTGAGACTCCAAGTGAAGGGTGAGGTATAAATCCAATCTCTTCTTCTGGGAGCCACTGACATTCCTTCGGGTAATGAAGGGCGGGGTATAAATCCAATCTCCGCTTCTTCTCTCAGGAGCAGTTTCTGTCAGAGCTCTCCCAGCTCATCTCCCTACTTCTTCTAAAATTATGAATGTGGAAGTGATTGTAATAATGGACAGTATTATGCTTCACATCCCCCAGTGATGCATCTAGAGATGTAAAATTTCCGGACATTTTGAAGCTCGGGAAAAAAACCATTTTTTTCCCAGTTTTTTTTCGGGGGGAAATGGAAATTTTTGGAAAAATTGAACAAAAAATGCTACATTAGCATTTCTTTTGTCTTTTTTAGATTGAAAGTCATTCTGTTACTTTAGGAACATAAAATATGACTATGGACATTTTTACTTGGCATGAAATTATCACAACCAGCATATTAAAAATATAGTGTATGCAAAAACAAAACTGAAACCTTTTTGTTTTCTTCTGACAATAGCACCTCCTAAAGGAAGAAATGCATCTTGTTCTTGTATTGGAGAGTTCAGTTTGTAACCTAGGACTTGCTTGTCCTCAGTGCACAGAAATTAGATCAATCTGATACCATATATATATATATTAGAAATGATTTGGAAAATATTTGAACACCTTGTCTTAAAATATTTTATTCATCATGTTTAAATAAAACGTTCCATAATCAATTTTTTTCCTTTTCTTTTTTCAATTTTTCCAATTTTTCAGAAAAAAAAAAAGGCTTCAGGGGAAAAACGTTTTTTTTCCGAATTTCCCCATTTTTTTTTTTTTTTGGACCTTCACATCTCTAGATGCATCCCAAAGTTCCTTTTGTCCTGTACTAGTAAAAGCTTTACTTGACCATCTAGTCAGCTCCAGTATTTTCTCCATTCCTCTTTATAGGCAATAGTATGGGACGAGTATCTGACGGGGCCTTTTGGATTGATTGCACAGTATTCACTTTTAAAGGTAAGGTGTGGACAGAGGCTTTTACACGGGTTTCATATGAATTTAATTTATCTGATTCTGCTCCTGTGAAAATAATCCTTTTGGGTAATTTTGTGAAAAGGTCATTATAACCAAGGAAATGTCTGCATTTCACTTTGAGGAGTGCAGGCAAAAAGAAACTTCAGAAATATTTTGCTTGTAATTCAGATTCTGCAAGATGCTTTCAAGGGCAGCCCTTTTGGTGTTTTTCAGCAAAATCAAAGCAGAAGTCCAGTGATTATTTAATGATTAACAAAATTTATTCCATCATAAGCTTTTGTGAGTCGGTGCTCGCTTCATCAGATGCTTTTGGTGTACATCCATATGACGGTGTGTTTATAGTTTTATAACTTCTGTTGACTGGATACCCACTGTGGGTAATAGCAAACCTGTGTTTTCGCAATGCTGTATGTAGCATTGTATATGTAGCACCTTATAAATGTTTTATGATTTTATATTGTTTTGACTTGTATTGTAAGCCACCCTGAGCCTGCCTTGGCGGGGAGGGCAGGGTATTAATATAATTTTTTTTAAAAATACAAAGACTTAACGTTAAAAGCAACGAAATGGGGAGGTGTTACAATGAGAAGCTAGTTTAGAAACATAACCTCACCCCCTCTAAATGTATTGAATTCTCTTTGATTGGTTATTGTTTTTAACTGGCCTCTCTTTGTGACATCGCCATACTCCCCCCTTTCTTTTATAAAGGTAAAGGTAAAGGTTCCCTTGCTCGAAAGCCAGTTGAGTCCGACTCTAGGGTTGCGGTGCTCATCTCCATTTCAAAGCCGAAGAGGCAGCGCTGTCCGAAGATGTTTCCGTGGTCATGTGGCCGGCATGACTAAATGCCAAGGCGCACGGAACGCTGTTACCTTCCCACCGAAGTGGTAGCTATTTGTCTACTTGCAAGTTCTTGCTTTCGAACTGCTAGGTTGGCAGGAGCTGGGACTAGAGATGGGAGCTCACTCCATCATGCGGCACACTCGGGTCTCGAACTGCTGAGCTACCGACCTTCCACAGCCTGCAGTTCAGCGTCTTAACCACTTGAGCCACTGCAGCTCCTCCCTTTCTTTTAGGTATTACTTTAACTATGTCTAGTGAAAAATTATGCTGGAATAAAAGTTAGACTTTGGAGTTAGTACTGGACTTCTGGATAATTTTGTAAGCCACTTCAGTTTTTATAAGGCAAGTGGTATAGCGTATTTAAAGTTGATTCAAGGAAGGTCTTGTAAAAGGGAGAACAGATTTGAACTTTGGGGATTGCCCTATTCAGGACTGTGCTGCAGAAGGGCACGATCTGCTGTGTGTGTGTGTGTCCCCTGCAGAAACTCCGTTGAAACGGATGGAGCAGTACCAGAGCACTTGAAGAATAGGAAGCGTATTAATCTGCGTAATTAAGATGTGGAAGTTATTCGTTTTGTGGTGCTATCCGTTTCTCTAGCCGTTTTCTGTCTTTAAAAAAATAAAGGACTATTGATATTCTGCGTTAACTTTTGCACCCATGGAGGAGCATTGGTTTGGCACTTAGTTGTGCAGCTCTGGGGAAGGTAAGTCCCAGCTCCCAGCACCGTTTCATTGTGTCCATCTCCGTAAGGCATAAGGCAGACCGAGCACCAAAGAACAGATGCTTTCAAATTATGGTGCTGGAGAAGACTCTTGAGAGTCCCCTGGACTGCATGGAGATCAAATCAGTCAATCCTAAAGGAAATCAACCCTGACTGTTCCCTGGAAGGCCAGAGACTGAAGCTGAAGCTCAAATACTTTGGCCACCAAATGAGAAGGGAGCACTCACTGGAGAAGACCCTGATGCTGGAAAAGACTGAAGGTCAAAGAAGACGGGGCGGCAAAGGATGAGATGGTTGGACAGTGTTATCGAGGCAACGGACATGAAATTAAGCCATCTCTGGAGCACGACGGGAGGCAGGAGGGCCTGGCGTGGTGTGGTCCACGGGGTCATGAAGAGTCAGGCTCAAGGTTGTAACTGAACAACTGTAAGGCAGAAAGCCTTACCCAAAATGGAGCAAAAACCAGTTTGCTTCTGGGGCCTAGACTACCTTGGGAACATGAATGGTCACCCATTTCGTGTTTTGGAACATGAGAGGTATCCGGCTGTCAGGACTAGAGGGCTGCCCAGGATCTGATTGCTACTGAGTTGCTTTGAATACTTTCTGAGAGCAACTTTCAAAGATGCTCAGTAATACAGGTTGTTTTCATAGGGCCTTTTTGTCTCCTTCCAGGAGCATGAGGTGGAGAAAATGTTTACCTTGAAGCCAGGCCGCCTCCCCCTTGCCGATGTCAAGAATATTATTTTCTTTGTGAGACCAAGGCTGGAGCTAATGGACATAATCGCTGAAAATGTGCTCAGGTATTGTGGATAGGGCACTGCTTTTCCGCTACAGCTGGGCACTCTGCTTTCTGCAGTCTTCTGCAACAGAGACTGCGCTGACTTCTGCCGCTGGGTGAGGAGATCCATCCTTTCTTTTCTCCAGCAGTAAACAGTCCTTCTCAGGGCCAAACTAGATGTGGTCGGGCAAGATCAACATGGGTTGACTTCTTATAAATCGGGGAGTGGGGATTTAAGGAGGGAGTGCCATTTAAGTGCAGTAAAGATGGGAGAAGGAAAGGATACTGAACACCCACCCTGCTGCCTTCCCTCTGAAACGGCTTCTCTCCTACTTTCTGTCTGAGAGCCCCATCTTAAAAGGCACTCAGTGGCATTCTGACTTGCCTTCATATTTAATTTGGCACTCAGCAGAGCAAGATGGAGCTTGCCTGTTGTTTCTGCTCGGGAGGCCCTTCTGACGTGGTCACCGTTCACAGCTGAGTAACTTGGACAGTCAGTGGCAGCCCTTCCCAGACGGCAGATTATGCATGGGATAGAGCAGGTAGAGAAAGAGGTACTTTTCTCCCTTTCTCACAATACAAGAACTCGAGATCACTCAATGAAATTGCTGAGCAGTCAGGTTAGAACAGATAAAAGGAAGTCCTTCTTCACCCAAAGAGTGATTAGCACATGGAATTCACTGCCACAGGAGGTGGTGGCGGCTACAAGCATGGATGGCTTCAAGAGGGAATTAGATAAACATATGGAGCAGAGGTCCATCAGTGGCTCTTAGCCACAAGGTACAGATAGGAACTCTTGGTCCGGGGCAAGGGATGCTCTGTACTCTTGGTGCTGGGGGGGGGGCAACAGTGGGAGGGCTCCTAGGGTCCTGGTCCCACTGCTGGACCTCCTGAGGGCACCTGGTGTTTTTGGCCCCTGTGTGACACAGAGTGTTGGACTAGATGAGCCATTGGCCTGATCCACCATTGGCTTCTCTTATGTTCCTAACAAGAGGCAGCTGACTCTCTAGAGCAGAACTGCTTGTGTGTATCTAAGGTCAGCCTCTTACGGAGAGGGAGGGATCTGGTGTGTACTGGTCTTGGTACTGGGGGGGGGATCAGGAATGGTCTCCAGCTTTGGGCCTGAAAAAATGGAACCATTGCAGTGGGGATTGGATGGCAAATTAACTGAAGCTTCTTCCGCAAAAAAATTGTCCATGTAAAAACTGATGGAATACATGCCTGAAGTTCAGCATGGATGGAAAGAAACCTGTTTCGGAACATTTAAAGTGCCCCTTTTTGAGGTTGGAACCCAGGAGTTCTGCTGCGCGGCGGCTCCTCAGGCCCCGGCACCTGGGATTTTTCAGGCCCTGCGCTGTCTGAACAGACCCCTTACGGAGTAGGGTCATGATGCTGACGACCATTTCACTGGGTTAGTCTGTCACATCTCCTAAAATCTCTTCTTGCCTCGTTCCAGCGAAGACAGAATTCGCTCTCCGCAGAGGGATTTCCACATCCTTTTTGTGCCGCGTCGCAGCTTGCTGTGTGAGCAGCGGCTGAAGGATCAGGGGATTCTGGGCGCCTTCATTCACAGAGAGGAGTACAGCCTGGACCTCATTCCGTTCGATGGGGACCTGCTGTCGATGGAGTCGGAAAGTGCCTTTAAAGTCAGTGTCTGTCTTCTTCCGTTGAGTAGTAAATGGCAAAGGGGGCTGTCCGGGCCGAGCACCTGATAGGGGCTTTGTTGAACCCTTCAGTTGCATCCGAGTGCTCATGTTCGTGTTTCTGCCTGGCAGCGGCCCTGGCTCACTGTTGACTTTGGGTCCAAATCAGAATTGGTTCTTCAGTATCCTTTGCAGGCAGAGAAGCAACAAGAGGGGCTTGGAGTGCAAGGGAAAAGAACTGGCTTAGATACCGTGGAGAAGCTCTCTGTAATGATTTCATGTTTTGGTGTGTGTGTTTCTTTACATTTTTAGCTTGACTGCAGTAATGTAAGGAGAGTGATAGAGGGAGATGGGTGTGATCTGATTGGCTGATGACTGAGAGTGTGGGAGGAGGGGTGTCTCTGAGGGGATTCTGTGTTTTTGGAGAGACGAGTGTGGAGAGTTTTTGAGCTCAGCCTGTATGGCAGAAGAAGCAGTTTGAGTCTATCCTATGTGGCTAAGACAAACTGTTTAGCCTGTGTGGCTAAGAGAAGCAGAGTTTAGCCTGTGTGTCTAAGGCTGTCAGAGCTGAGTTTTGGCATTTTGAGAGACAGTGTGTGAGACCCAGCTTTATCAGTTATATTTATAAGTTCCTTTCTTCAACAACACTTCAAAAATACCCAGAGACCTATTTTGTTCTTTGATAAATAAATCATTATTTGTTTAAACTTATCCCAGCAGTCAGAACAGTCCTTCCTCAGGGTCACATAGTCCTCTGAAGTGCCCAGACACAGGGTCATTCTACCATAGTAGAGAGATTTGGAGTATTTAATTCCCGGTGGCAGCTGTAATCTACTAAATTTATGTGAACAGAGTGTGTTTTAAAGGGAAAACAGTCTCCCCAATAAGGAGGACGTCACACTCTCAATAAAACATCTTAATAAAAGTAAGCCAGTGGACCTCGATTCTCTCCATAGAGTATTTTAAGAGGAGGCTTGACAAATATCTGGGGCTCTTAAACTGTTGCAGATTCTGCCTTACTGGAGCACTGGAAGAAAGTTCTCTCCCGGTTTGCCAGTCCTGTTTGCAGCTATTCCAGTTAAACTGAATACGCATCCTAAATTTCTTACCAGCTTTCTCGTCTGATTTTTCCTTTGTAGGAATGTTACCTGGAAAATGACCAAACCAGCCTCTATCATGCAGCAAAGGGTCTCATGACCTTACAGGCACTCTATGGAACCATCCCACAGATCTTTGGGAAGGGGGAATGTGCACGGGTAAGGAAGACCTGGGACGTCTGGCTTCATTAGCAGCTAACTCAGTCTGACTTCTTTTGTGCAAATTTCCCGCAAGTGAACATAGGAAGCTGCCATGTACTGAGTCAAGGCATTGGTTTGTCTTGTTCGCTTTCAACTCTGAGAGCAGCTCTTCGGGGGTCTCAGAAAGAGAAAGCTATTTCTCTACCTGAGATGCTTTAACTCTAGATGTAGGGGAGAATTTTAGAACCTGGAAAAGTTTTAAAACAAATGATCAAACAATCAGTCCTTCAGCATTTAGAAAAGATGGCTGTGATTACTAAAAACCAGCATGGGTTTCTCAAGAACAAGTCATGTCAGACTAACCTTATCTCTTTTTTGGAGAAAGTTACTACCTTGCTGTATCGGGAATGCTGCAGTGTAGACATAGTTTATCTTTATTTCAGTGAGGCTTTTGATAAGGTTCCCCATAATATTCTTGTTGACATGTGGTTTGGATCATATAGAGGTAAAATGTGGTTTGGATCACATAGAGGATGGTGTGGAGTTGTTTTCTGTTGCGCCAGAATGTCGGACCAGAACCAACGGGTTGAAATTAAATCAAAAGGGTTTTTGGCTAAACATTAGGATGAATTTCCTGACAGAGCGGTTCCTCAGTGGAACAGGCTTCCTCGGGAGGTGGTGGGCGCTCCTCCTTTGGAGGTTTTCAAACAGAGGCTAGATGGCCATCTGTCAGCAATGCTGATTCTGTGAATTTAGGCAGATCATGAGAGGGAGGGCAGGCCTCAGTGCTTAGTTCTCATGGCCCTTTCTTACACGCCCAGGGAAATGCTGATCGCCACTTTGGGGTCAGGAAGCAGTTTTTCTCCAGGCCAGTTTGGCTGGAGATCCTGGAGGGTTTTTTGTGTGTGTGTGTGTCATCTTCTGGGCATGGAGAGTGAGAAACATATCTTTAAAAGGTTTGTTGTTGCAGTAAGTGCTGCTCGTGTCTGGGCCATCACCTCCTTTGTTCTTGCTTTTTTTAAAAAAAACAGCATGTGGCAAATATGATGATCAGGATGAAGCGGGAGTTCTCCGGAAGCCAGAACCCAATATTTCCAGTCTTTGACACTTTGCTGTTGCTTGACCGCAATGTAGACTTGATGACGCCTCTGGCCACCCAGCTGACATACGAAGGGCTTATCGACGAGATATACGGCATTCAGAATTGTGAGTACTAGACCGTCTCTGGAGGGAATGTAATCAAATCACCGTGTCCTTTTGGACGGACGGTGCCTTATTACTCAGGAAGTTGGCAGCCCTGTCTTAGATTAACCCCTGCGCTCATTTTCTCCTTACAATAACATCCCACTCCTCAGGGAATTCTTCACGGTCTCCCCTTTTCCTTCCCTTGGCAGCTTATTTGTGCCTGGGAATTTAGGATAGCAGGGAGGGCAAGAATGTCAGGGTCTTTGTATCACACCGTTTAGAGGAACTTGTTGCCGTGTTTTCAGAGGGCAGCTATGTTGGTCTGCGGTAAAACAGTTAGATTTGAGTCCAGTAGCACTCTAGAGGGGCCGCGGTGGCTCAGAGGTTAAGACGCTGAGTTGCAGACTGGAAGGTCTGTAGTTCGGCAGTTCGAGACCCGAGTGCCTCATGATGGAGTGAGCTCCTGTCTCTGGCCCCAGCTCCTGCCAACCTAGCAGTTCGAAAGCAAGAAACTGCAAGTAGGTAAGTAGGTACCACTTGGGTTGGAAAGTAACAGTGTTCCGTGCGCCTCGGCGTTTAGTCTCACCAGCCACATGACCACGGAAACATCTTCAGATAACGCTGGCTCTTTGGCTTGGAAACAGAGATGAGCACCGCCCCCTAGAGTTGGTCTCTTCTTATTGGTCAGCCATGGGACTGAATTAACACATGGAATTCACTGCCACAGGAAGTGGTGGCGGCTACAAGCATGGACGGCATCAAAAGGGAATTAGATAGGCATATGGAGCAGAGGTCCATCAGTGGCTATTAGCCACAGAGTACAGATAGGGACTCTGGGGCAAGTGATGCTCTGTCTTCTTGGCGCTTGGGGCGGGGCAACAGTGGCAGGGCTTCTAATGTCCTGGCCTCACTGGTGGACCTCCTGATGGCACCTGGTATTTCTGGCCACTGTGTGATACAGAGTGTTGGACTGGATGGGCCTTTGGCCTCATCCAACATTGGCGTCTCTTATGCTCTTATGTTCTTAAGGTGCTATTGGACTTCAATCTAACTCTGTGCCTGTCCAAGAACATTTTCATAGCTCTGAATGAGTTCACTGAACCTCCTGGAGAAATCCCTCTGTAATTTTGTTCAGGCTGTATAGACGGGAGTTCCCATTGTATTCCCAAAAATGAGAGAGAAGAGAAGATAGCAGTTTTTACGCAACCATTTTGGGGTGGAAAGTATTAAAACTGCCCCCTTCCAAAGGATCCGGAGCTTGCCGAGCACATCCCGTTAATCCTGTTGCAAGAGCCAGTGGTGGCAGGGGCATTAGGTGGGTTTTTTACCCCCCCCCTTTTTTTGGTTGTTTGGCAGCCTATGTGAAACTCCCCCCGGAGAAGTTTGCTCCCAAGAAGCAGGGGGAGGGTGGCAAGGACCTCCCTACCGAGCCAAAGAAGCTGCAGCTGAATTCCGCCGAGGAGCTCTACGCCGAGATCCGAGACAAGAACTTCAACGCCGTGGGCTCCGTGCTGAGCAAGAGAGCCAAAATCATCTCGGCCGCGTTTGAGGTAAAGGGGGGGGGGGGCGGTGAGCAGTGTCAGCACCTGTCCGAGGCTGAGACGGGTCTGGGAGGCGCGGCGGGTCCAGGGTCGAGGGAGGAGACGGTCCGAGCTTGACGTAGCCTCAGAACACCTCCCTGGGGGTTACTTAATTCCCGAGATGTGACGTCCTCGCCTCTATTTGGGTGCGTTGGAGTGGATTGGGCCTGGCAGACTCGCAGCTCCCTCCTCGCAACCTTCGGCATAGAGACCAGGTGTGTCCTTATCGGCCAGCGTCTTTGCTGCCTTTATCCTCCCTCCACCACCTGGCCTGCCTCGCCTCCCAGGTCTTAAAGCAAACGCGCCATGGGACTGAGGCCAGGCCCCAGGCGCATCTTCCCCATCCGTCTTCTTTGCGGTCAGGCCAACGCCGAGGGGGTAGAAGAAGAGGAGAGACTGGATTTATACCCCGCCCTTCACTACCCGAAGGTGTCTCAGAGCGGGCTTACAAACTCCTTTCCGTTCCCCTGCCCACAACAAACACTCTGTGAGGTAAAAGAAGAAGAAGAGACTGGATTTATACCCCGCCCTTCACTACCCGAAGGTGTCTCAGAGCGGCTTACAAACTCCTTTCCGTTCCCCTGCCCACAACAAACACTCTGTGAGGTAAAAGAAGAAGAAGAGACTGGATTTATACCCCGCCTTTCACTAGGACGAAGGTGTCTCAGAGCGGCTTACAAACTCCTTTCCGTTCCCCTGCCCACAACAAACACTCTGTGAGGTAAAAGAAGAAGAGACTGGATTTATACCCCGCCCTTCACTACCCGAAGGTGTCTCAGAGCGGCTTACAAACTCCTTTCCGTTCCCCTCCCCACAACAGACACCCTGTGAGGTAGGCGGGGCTGAGAGAGCTCTGACAGAAACTGCTCTTTTTCAAGGACAGCTCTTATCAGAACTATGGCTTGCCCAAGGTCACCCAGCAGGTGCAAGTGGAGGAGTGGGGAATCAAACCCGGTTCTCCCAGATTAGAGTCCGCGCACTTAACCACTACACCAAACTGGCTAGACGTCCTCCGTGCCCTCCTTTGGCGGCGTGTTGCGGGAGGATCCCCGGTCCTTCAGGGAACCCTTGCAGTGGCTTTCCTGTGCCCTGGCGCTGGAAGGTAGGTACTCCTGAGTGGGTTGTTTGGGAGAGACGGGAGGTTCCCCGCCCGCCCCTTTCTCCTCGGATTCGGTTTCGTGGATCGGGTCTGGCTTCTCCTCGCGGTCCTCTGGGTCGTAGGGAGGCAGGAGGGGGTCGGGAGGGGGCCCCTCCTGACACAGGGCCTCGCTTGAATTCCACACCACGTGGCCGTCAGACCCTGGGGTGGGGTCAGGTCTGCATCGTTGCTTCAGCCCCAGCCATCCTGAAGGAAACTTCATCTAGCATCAGGATTCCATGTCGCTTCATTCTTAAAAACAAAAAAGGGAAAATTCCGTCCCTAATGAATCTATATTCAGCAGCCCAGATCTATCTATACAGACAGATCAGATTCAGTATAATTTATTCTGTTTTTAGTTACTTCTGTATAATGGATTTGGGTTTTAGAGTGGCACAAGGCACTGGAGCTGGTGAAAAATATTGATTCAGACCCTGCTTCTTTTTTATAAAAAATTATTTTTATTAGGTTTTTATACATTAAGCAACACACAAATAAAACAACAACCAACATACATCCCTGCACCGATTAAGCCCTTATTGTACACTTAGACAAGATCCACAGCACATTTTCCCACTTATCCATTTCTTATACCACACTTATTTTCTATACAACACAGATTAATATAACCATCATTCCTTCACTAATCAAGTTTTCCATCCAGTCTGCGTTGACTAAACCTCTTTATTTCTTTATCCTCTTGAGGTTAATTAAGTGTAAGTCAAATTCCAGCTCTTATCTCAGCACCATATCTTGTCAATTCTGTGTATTCAATATGGGGGTTGGGTTTGTATTTATTATTCTTTTCTTTACTTTTCTTTTAACTTTTATAATTTTTTTTTAAATTTTCCTCTCTATTTGATGCTTTAATGTTTTATTAGTAATTTATTTAGAACTTTTTAACTTTCCCTTTTAACCATTCCATGTACCCATGACTAACCTTTTCAGATCTTTTACAATAAATAGCAATAAGTAGCAATAAACCTATTTACATCAATTTTTTCCTTCTAATCAAGATCAAAATCAATTGTATTCAATTTCTTATCCCTAAATTATACATTCACACTTCCCCTTAATCATTATATTCAAATAAATTAGTTAAATTAAGTAATTTAAACATATTCTAATCATAAGTAATACATTTACACTTTCCCTCAACAAAAATATATCACCTCGCATTTATAAATATATAACTTTAAATAAGCATACCAGTAATTCATTTTGTACACCTTATAATCACCTCTAATTTCCCCTTTAAAAAATAAATAAATAAATAAATTTGCAAATACTAATAGTAATAATCATTCAATAAACAACTCATATTCATAAATAGATGGGTCTAAATACAAAATCCACTATTTCATTTCCTAAGCCAATACATTTCTGGTCAGTCATCCAAATAAATAGGTTTAAATAGAAACATCAGTTCATAAACCAACACAGTCCAGGTCAAACTTCCAGTTCAATCTATAGAGAAAGGGGAGGCATCTAGTTTTCTCTTTCACATCTCTTTCTCTTTCTCTTGTACATTTGCCGTTTATTCTTTTCCCTCAGCATGTCCCCATGTCTTCGTTCTTTGAGCACGTTTTGCCGTCCATCATTCTTTCTTATCCTGTCCATTCTTTTCACAGTTCTAGTCCAGATGTTCCTTTTGGGCTTCTTTACCTTTCCTCTTTTTGTGGTTCTTTTACTTTTCCCTCGCCCAGGTTTTAAATACTGAGTGTGTTCTTTCAGGTGGCTTCCTTTAAATCTTGGTTGTTTCCCTTTTGAGTTCTACTTTATCTTTTAGCATCTCCACTTCCTCCTCTCCTCTTTCTTCCTCAACGCTCTCCTTTTTCTCTATCTTTTCCTCCTCTTCATGGGGCATATTCTCTTTATCACATTCTTGTTTTTCCACTCTCTTAGAATCTGCCAATAAGCCATAATCCTTTTTTATCTCCACAAATGCCTCCTGGACTCCTCTCCGCACCGCCTCTTTTATCGCTCTGATAAATATCTCCGTTTCTGTCTCTCCCCTTTCAGGCTCCTCTGCTCCTTTCTCCGTCTTTCCTTCCATTTGCTCCATTTCTCTCAAACAGCACGGAGCCTCTATCAACAATAACTTCCCCCAAATCTCTCCCAGTTCACACAGTCAAGTTCCACTCACAGTTTCTCTTAACTTTTCTTCCCTCCTCCAAAATAATTATTTCTAAGTCCGTCCCTTTCAGTTCGCCGGCCGCTTTTGTTTACCTGTTTGGGTTTTGTCGTCTGGAGGTCTCATCCGTTATCCCAGCTGAAAGTAATTTTGTGCCTCGATATTTCTACTTGTTCTTGAGTTCAATCCTTGTCTCTTCTTGCGTTTGCGTTACAAACAAGTCTCTTTTTTTTTTTTTCACCCGTGCAGTTTTAAAAACTCAGGCGGCTGCGGCTTTGCAAAGTCATGGCAGCCATGTTTGCTCCGTCGTCAGTCTCTGCTTCTGGGGCGTTTTCTGGACACCCCCCGCATTGCCGATTGCGGGGGCCCCCAAAAAATAAAGCCCCTTGCTCCAGCAGTCCATACCAGGTCCGCTGGTCGCGCCATGCCGGAAGTGGAATCTCAGATTCAGACCCTGCTTCTGAGCAGCCCGCTAGCGTTGTGCACAGGCGTTCATGTGTATCTTTGCAGTCATAAGAAAGTTGCTGTCTTTTGTGTGTGTGTGGGGGGGGGGGTTTAAAGGACATTTGAGATGCTCAGGAAGGTCCGTTCTATGTTCTGCATAGTGCATTCTGTTATTTTTCTGTATTCCCACGTAAATCCCCGGGATCAGGTCCATTTTCCAACATGGTGTCTCTCAGCCTGGTGGAACCCTGACTGTGCAGTCTTTTGTATTTTGTATCTGAGTCTGTGTTCGTTGAACAGATATTTCAAGCAATGCCGCTGGTATGAAATGCCGTAACCTCTGCCAACATTTCATGGTGTGTAAAAGGGTATGCTTGAAGTGGTGGAGCTGTGTCTTCTTAGATGCATTTAGTCTTTCTGCATTTCTTTTTGCCGCTCTGAACAGCCGGGCAGATGCGGTTTCCTGTTGTTCAATAGCCCGTGTCAGTTTCGTAATTGGCACTTACAGGGACATTAGTGCTTTACACTGGAGGAAGGGGGGGGGTGGATGCCAGGCTGTTGGATGTCGTAGGTGTTAATGAAACAACAGCCTGTGAGCAGCAGAGGGGCTGTTAATGGTGGGTTTCATAATTTCCTTCCTGTCCGGGCTTGCCATTGATATCATTTGCACTTCAACCAAGTTCTACTTTTAAAGAATTTGCGAGGTTTTTTTTTCCCTATATCTAGCTTTTATCCAAGCCTGCAGACTTCTGGATTATTTTTATTAATAGGTCATTACACACAGTTTAGTCCTTAGATAGATCCAAGTGGTCAGCTGTGTTGGTCTGAAGCAGTAGAACAAATTAAGCTAAGAAGAAGAAGAAGAGGAGATTGGATTTATACCCCACCCTTCACAACCCAAAGGAGTCTCCAAGCGGCTGACAAACTCCTTCCCCACCCCACAACAGACACCCTGTGAGGTAGGTGGGGCTGAGAGAGCTCTGAGAGGAACGGCTCTTTTTCAAGAACAGTTTTTATCAGAACTATCGCTTGCCCAAGGTCATCCAGCAGCTGCATGTGGAGGAGTGGGGAATCAAACCCGGTTCTCCCAGATTAGAGTCCGCGCACTTCACCACTACACCAAAACATCACACTACACCAAACCTTTGTTGGTCTTAAAGGAGCCACTGGACTCTAAATTTGTTTTAGTCCGTAGAGTTGTGTTCTGTGACTTCCAGTCATTGCAGAGATAAGATTTTCTGTCTATTCAGGAATGATTTGTTATGGATTATCAGTGGAAAAATTTCTCACATTGGGCCAATTATGTTCCGGTAATTGGGTGTCTCCAGTGCCTGTTTGTTCTAAGGACCCACACTGAGTTACAACATATCTTTCTGATTTTATTCTTATTACAATGCTGTACAGAACATTACACTAAAGGAGAGTCCAATCTGGCCAGGGCAGGCATTCCATTCCGATCTGGGACCCTTCTGCTCCAACCCAGTTGAACTGTCTACTGCGCCACACCGGATCCGTGTTGAACATTAACGTGCAAGGCCAGACATCCGAAATCTAATTCTGAAATAAGCCTCAGACCAACAGCCAAAACTTCTGCACAATGGGGCCAGGCAGAGAAAAAGGGGTAAAATTTCTTTTTACAAACCTAGAGAAAGAACCCAGTTTGCAGAAAAATCCAAAAATCTCTTTTTAAATGACGGTTTTAAAAATCCCCCAAATGGAGAAGCAACGCCTGTGTACGTACAGACATTACAGCTGTTAAAGATGCCAAATGAGATGTCAGGACTCTGCACTGTGAGATTTCATGGAGTATTTTTTGCTTGCTTCCTTTGAGTCGCAACCTGGCTGGAGGTGGTTTGGAGCAGAAAGCCCCCCCCATTCCCTGTCAGCTGAGTGGGGGGGGGGAGGTGCTTGGAGCAGAATGCCTGCCAGATACACTTCTGGCTCTGAGCAGGGGAGAGGGAGAAGGCCCTTTGCTTGCCACAGGGTGGGCCCCGGGAACCAGTCGCAGAAGGGAAAACCAGATGTCCGCTCCTCTGAAGCACTTGCAGATCCTCCACTTGTAACCAGTGTTCCCTCTAAGCTTGGGGTGTCGAACTTATTTGTTATGAGGGCCGGATCAGACATAAATGAGACCTTGTTGGGCCAGGGCCAGGCTTACCAAGTACTTACCATGATTCGTCTTCCCAGGACCATTCCCGCGCGGACAACAGCCGCGCCGCACCATGCCGTCACCAAGAAGTAACGCTGGGCGACGCTCTGTTAATGGGGCTCCTCCACATGCAGCTGCTGGATGACCTTGGGCAAGCCATAGTTCTGATAAAAACTGTTCTTGAAAAAGAGCCATTCCTCTCAGAGCTCTCTCAGCCCCACCTACCTCACAGGGTGTCTGTTGTGGGGAGGGGAAGGGAGAGGAGTTTGTAAGCCGCTTTGAGACTCCAAGTGAAGGGCGGGGTATAAATCCAATCTCCTCCTCCTCCTCCTCCTGGTCCCATCGTGCTGCGACCTCACAGGATTTTGAAACAGCCAAATCCTTCTCTAGAACGGCGTTGGCATCGGTGAGTCGGACCCGTGGGTCCCCTAAAGTCTGGTTTGGCCCTGCCACTGTCAGAGCCACATATCGTTTGCCTGTTTTACGTGCTGCAGAACTGCCGGCGGGAACTGCCCTCTTAGACAGGAGTTTGTAATATTTTTATAAAAAAGAACTGAGTCGCAAGAGGCTGGTTTCGCCCGTCAGCACAGCAAAGCTCTCTTTCTGCAAGCCGACGCAGGGCCACCTTTGCATGTGCACAAGCCGGGATTAACCCCAAGTTGTAACTGCTGTGTTTTTATTGTTCTTAGGAGAGGCATCATGCTAAAACTGTGGGAGAGATCAAACAGTTTGTCTCGCAGCTGCCCCACATGCAAGCAGCCAGAGGCTCTTTGGCTAACCACACTTCCATCGCGGAGCTCATCAAAGACATCACTAGTGCGTATTCGTTTAGAAGTCCGTTTATCCCGCCTTTCTCCCGAAGCGGGACTCGAGGCAGCCATCGGTTTATGTTGCTTGTTAACCTCTTACATGGAAGGGTGGGCTGAAATCGGCTTCAGTACCTGCCATTTAAACAAGGTGCCAGTAAGCTGGTCCTGATCCGTGGCTTCCTGTCACACATAACTTAACTGGCCCTTATTTTCAAATGCAGCTTGTTTGTTTACTGTTTGAGGATTGGTTTTTTGCTTTTTTTTTTAAGCCTCAGAAGACTTCTTTGACAAGTTAACAGTGGAACAGGAATTCATGTCCGGCGTAGACACTGATAAGGTAAGTGAAAATAGTTTGTACTTCTTTGTAAGCAGTTTGTTGACATCTGCTTTCTAGATTGCGTCGACAGGGAAGTTTTTCTCCATTTCGGCCACCAAGCAGCAGCAGGGTTGTTGTTTTTTAGGACGGGGGGGTGGAGGGGAGCACTCACATGATGTGCTGTTTTGTGCTTTATGTCCTTACTAGGAAAAAGGCCCGTTGTGGAAATAAATACAATGACCTCTAGAAAGAGGCTCTGGGTGGGTGCCCCGGCCTTGGACACTCAGTGTCAATTTGCTGTGGCGACCTCAGCAGGATATAATGACACTGAGTCCACCATTTTCTCCAGAGGAACTGATCTCTGCTACCTAAAGTACAGTTGTAATTTTGAGTGATCTCCAGCCCTCACCTGGAGATTGGCAACGATGGTTCCCCAGAAGGGACTAGTTGGTTTGGAGGGTGGTCTATGGCTTTGTACCTGTCCGAGGTCCCACACCTCCTGAAACCTCACCCTCTCCAGGCTCCATCCCTCACATCTCCAGGAATTTCCCACCTCGAGTTGGCAACCCTATCCTGCCCAGCCAATCATCAACCTACCTTTATTTCCCCCTCACTCTTCAGCTTTCCACCCCCCACACACCTGCAGCCTCTCCTGTGCTCTGAAGCCCTGACTGCTACGTCACATTGGCTGTCATACGGGGGCCACCTCAGCAGCATATAAGGATACAGAGCCCACCATTTTCTCCAGGGGAACTGATCTCTGCCGTCTGGAAAGCAGTTGTAATTCTGAGTGATCTCCAGCCCTCACCTGGAGATTGGACACATTTTACCTCAGAACAGCAAACTGTTTAGAATGTTAGAGGCAAAAGCCAATCAAGTCACATATGCAAACGACCTCTGTGTTCCGAGGCAGAGGCCAATGAGGCTGCATATGCAAATAACCTCTGTGTTCTGACTGGCTATGGGGGTGAGAGGAAAAACAAAATGTTTAGAACGTTGGAGGCAGGACTCCAGCAAAGCAGCCAGTGGATAGGGAGACCCTCTGAATGACAGATCTGAGAGCGAACTGATTTTTGAGCGTGTGGAATGTTCTAGAGAAGTGCCACCACCATTCGGCTTTTATTTATAAAGGAGATATCACATTGTCCTGCAGAGTAGCTTCAGGTATCTTGTTGTTCCACCTCAGGTACTATCAGTGGGTCTGATTGAACATTTGGCTGTTGCTGTTCCTGATAAACAAATAGCAAATAGGAAAGGAATTCTGGGCCGTGGTGGTTTTGGGGTGATACAAAATGCTGCTAAGGGTGGGAGGGGCGGAGCGGGGGGGGGGGCCATCTTCTGTGTTCCTTTATGACAGTTCTAAAAATGAGTTTCTTGGGAGGCCTCATTCAGACTTTTGCATGGCTTTGCTGGACAGCTTGCATTTTCCCTCTTTAGGTCAACAATTACATTGAAGACTGTATTGCCCAAAAGCATCCCTTGATCAAGATATTAAGGCTTGTTTGTCTGCAGTCCGTGTGCAACAGCGGGCTGAAACAGAAGGTCTTGGATTATTACAAGAGAGAGATCCTGCAGGTTAGATTTACAAAAGGTCACAAGTAGGAACCTCTTACCTACCTCACCTACCTCCCAGGGTGTCTGTTGTGGGGAGGGGAAGGGAAAGGAGATTGTAAGCTGCTCTGAGACTCCTTTGGGTAGTGAAGGACAAGGGGTATAAATCCAATCTCCTCCTCCTCCTCCTCCTCCTCCTCCTTTATAGTGGTTAGTGAGGTAGCTCAAGCACTTATCTCTGCAGGAGCAGGGTGGGCTGCCAGGGTTAGAATGAGTAATTGGAGGCAAGCGTTGTCAGTCATAAAGGTTAATCTCATACCCATGACATTTATTTAATTTGCTTGTTTTAACTGAAACCAGATTGCTTGTTTAATTTTACTTTTCTGTTAGAGCCAGTCTGGTGTAGTGGTTAGGAGCGCGGACTCTAATCTGGAAGAACCGGGTTTGATTCCCCACTCCTCCACGTGCAGCTGCTGCTGTGACCTTGGGTCAGTCACAAGTTCTCTCAACGCTGTTCTCTCAGGAGCAGTTCTCAAAAGAGCTCTCTCAGCCCCACCCACCTCACAGGGTGTCCGTTGTGGGGAGGGGAAGGGAAAGGAGATTGTAAGCTGCTCTGAGACTCCTTTAGGTAGTGAAGGGCGGGATATGAATCTAATCTGTTGTTGTTGTTGTTGTTGTTATTCTGATCCACCATAAATAGTTTGTGGATTAAAGTCTCAGTGACCCAGAAGCTGGTGATGCCCAAACCAGTTCATTGTTTTGAAAAGTCTTATTTGTCTTCCTTCTTGCAAAAGGACTATGTATATGTTAAAGGATATAATTCTGTGTGCAGCCTATAAAATATAATACAGCCATTATTATTATCACTGTAGACTTACGGGTATGAGCATATACTGACCTTAAACAATCTAGACAAAGCTGGACTCTTGAAGCCTCAGACAAGCGGTCGAAACAACTACCCAACAATTCGGAAAACGTTACGTCTGTGGATGGATGATGTCAATGAACAGGTAAATGAAGGCTGTGATATTTTTTTTTATTGTGATGCTGTGAAGACACACCCACCCTAATCCCTGCAGTGGGTGTGGGTAGGTGGTATGTATGTTGGAGACTGTGATGCTTATAACCAGTGTTCCCTCTAAGATGAGTTAGTATGAGCTAGCTCACAGTTTTTTAGCCTCTGGCTCACAGATTTTTGTTGTAGCTCGGGAAGGAGGGCTCCAGAGCAAGCTAATTTATGCAGCAGCCAAATCCCTCACTCGCAACTTTAATGCCAGTAGCTCACAAAGTAGAATTTTTGCTCATGAGACTCCACAGTTTAGAGGGAACATTGCTTATAACTGGTTTTTGTTGTAGTGGTTAAGTGCGCGGACCCTAATCTGGAAGAACCGGGTTTGATTCCCCACTCCTCCACTTGCAGCTGCTGGATGACCTTGGGCAAGCCATAGTTCTGTCAGAGCTCTCTCAGCCCCACAGTTTCTGTCAGAGCAGTTTCTGTCAGAGCTCTCTCAGCCCCACCTACCTCACAGGATGTCTGTTGTGGGGAGGGGAAGGGGAAGGAGTTTGTAAGCCGCTCTGAGACACCATTGGGTAGTGAAGGGTGGGGTATAAATCCAATCTCTTCTTCTTCTTCTTTTCATTGTTTGGCAGCTCCAACATCGACACGCCTGGGATACCTAAGAAGGGCACCTGCTTTTCTGGCCACTACACCAGTTTGGTTCAGGGGTTAGGAACGCGGATTCTAATCTGGGAGAACCGGGTTTGATTCCCCACTCCTCCACTTGCAGCTGCTGGATGGCGTTGGGCAAGCCACAATTCTGTTAGAGCTGTTCTCTCAAGGGCAGTTCTCTCAGAGCTCTCTCAGCCCCGCCTACCTCACAGGGTGTCTGTTGTGGGGAGGGGAAGGGAAAGGAGAGTGTAAGCCGCTCTGAGGCTCCAAGTGAAGGGCAGGGTATAAATCCAATCTCTTCTTCTTCTTCTTCTTCTTCCCTCCCTTGTACAGAATCCCCATGACATTTCCTACGTCTACAGCGGCTACGCTCCCCTGAGTGTGCGCTTGGCGCAGCTGCTTGCCCGGCCGGGGTGGCGAAGCATAGAAGAAGTCCTGAAGATGCTTCCGGGACCTCACTTCGAAGAGCGGCAGCAGTTGCCAACAGGACTTCAGAAAAAGCGTGGGTGCCTTTGAGCCACACCATTTGTCCAATGGCGTCATTTGTCAAAAGTCTGGCCTGAGCTTACTTCCACATGGAGGTTTTTGCTCGGATTTGTCATCCAGAGCGGCTTTTTTTGAGCATACGTGTGCCTGTGTCCCCTAATGGTCCTGATGTTTTGTGTGTGTGTGTGTGTGTGTGTGTGTCCACTTTGGTGCACTTTCCTCCAAGCCTGGCTTGGTATGATGTTTCTGAAAAGATCACAGCAGCGTGGTGGGATGGCTGGGGTGTCAGAGTAAGGTCTGGGAGACCCAGGTTCGAATCCCCCCTCTGCTAAGGAACGTTGCTGGGGTTAACCGTGGGCCTGTCAGGCACTCTCAGCCTAGCCTACCTCACAGGGTTGTTGTGAGGATAAAGTGATGGAGAGGAGAAGAATGTCAGCCATATTGGGGGTCCTTTAGGGAGGGGAGAACATAAGAACATAAGAGAAGCCAATGTTGGGTCAGGCCAGTGGCCCATCCAGTCCAACACTCTGTGTCACACAGTGGCCAAAAATGCCAGGGGCCATCAGGAGGTCCAGCAGCGGGGCCAGGACACTAGAAGCCCTCCCACTCCCCCCCCCCAGCACCAAGAAGACAGAGCATCACTTGCTCCAGACAGAGAGTTCCTATCTATACCTTCTGGCTAAGAGCCACTGATGGACCCCTTCTCCGTATGCTTACCCAATTCCCTCTGTCAGTCTATCAGTCCATGCTTGTCGCCACCGCCACCTCCTGTGACAGTGAGGGAATATACATTACATTTTGTAAAAAAAGCATATTTGTGTGCCTTTGGGACAGTGTTTCTATTTTTTGGTTGTTATTCAGTCGCACAGTCGAGTCCGACTCTTCGCGACCCCATGGACCAGCTCCCGCCAGGCCCTCCTGTCTTCCGCCGTCCTCTGAAGTCGGCTCAATTTCACGGTCGTTGCCTCGATGACACTGTCTAACCATCTCATCCTTTGCCGTCCCCGTCTTCCTTGACCTTCAGTCTTTCCCAGCATCAGGGTCTTCTCCAGTGGGTGCTCCCTTCTCATTGGGTGGCCAAAGTATTTGAGCTTCAGTTTCAGTCTCTGGCCTTCCAGGGAACAGTCAGGGTTGATTTCTTTTAGGATTGACTGATTTGATCTCCTTGCCGTCCAAGGGACTCTCAGGGGTCTTCTCCAGCCCCATAGTTCAAAAGAATCTATTCTTCGGCGCTCGGCCTTCCTTATAGTCCGACTCTCGCAGCCATACAGGACTACTGGCTTTGACCATGCGGACTTTTGTTGGCAAGGTTACGTCTCTACTTTTTATCATGCTGTTTAGGTTCGCCATCGCTATTAGTCCCTCTGAATTCCTGGCTTTCTTGTTAAAACAAAGTGAGCAGAAGTTAAAAATTCACAGGAACGACTAGGTGGCCCATTGTAACGCCGTACTGCTGTAGAGCAGGGGGTGGCCCAACTGCAGCTCGGGAGCCACACGCGGCTCTTTCACACAGTCTAGTTTAATGTTAATGAAAAGCAAATTTGCACGTTTTTCAATAAAACCGTGTGTGTGATATTGGTTCATGTCTTGCGGCTCTCCGACATCTGACGTTTATTCTGTGTGGCTGTTCCATTGAGCAGGTTTGGGCCCCCCCTGACATAGAGATACGTTAGTTGGCATTTTTTAAAAGCCCTCCAGCTTTGCTTGGGGGAACAGCTGTTTCCGTGCGCCACCTCCCCAGAGCTGTCATATGGCTGCTCCGTTTCCACTGCGAACACATCTGCAGGGGCAAAGGAAGCCAGCCGTGTGGAGAACAGCTGCCCTGTAGGAAAGCAGCCTTCCTGCTGCTGACGCGTCACCTCATTGCCCGGATGGAGCGGCCTCTTGCAAAGGCAGGACTTCAGTTTCTTTGTTTTGGCTGTTTTTACTGAGTTTTTCTCCCTAGCGGGTGCCCAAACCAACCTACAACATTGGTCTCCCTCCTCAGTTTTATCCTCACAATAACAACTCGGCATCGTAAGTTGGATTCAGAGAGTGACTGGCCCCGGGCCACCCAGCAGGCTCACCTGGCAGAATGGGGGTCTCTAACCACTGCGCCATGCTGCCTTTCTAGTATACGCACATGGGTGCTCGTGGGCTTCCCCGTCTCTGCAGCAGGAAAAATTACTAATCCTTTTCGCTCCATTCAGTGACTGAATAAGGAAGCCAGCAAATGCACGAGCCCTCTGTGTGCACTAGAGCCCACGCAGAGTTCAGAGGCGGGTGCATGGGCACGATCTAGTGAAGGCGCATGACTCCAGTTGTGTTTCTCTGTGTGTTTTCAGTGCCATTTAGGCACACCTCACCTCTGGGTTTCACCCTGCATCTTTCATGATAGGTACTATGTTTGTCTTTTTTTAAAAAAAGACTTTTTAATCATTTTATCAACATATTACATTGCAACTAATAGTACTGTATTAATATCACACACACCATAAGACATAAACAGAGAGGGTTATCTAGGGAAAAGGTCTTTCTCTGACCTGCATTTACTCTATAAGTTCACTCAATTAAAAATATATCATTTCTATAGAGAGGATTATCAGGGAGTGTATCATTTTCTGTCATATAACATATTACCGGAAACCAAATTTCTATCCTTTTTGATTCAGCTCTAGCAGGAGATTAATTAAACGTTCACCTTAACCCTTTCTTTTGTTCCAGCTGCATTCACTTCCATCGTTTTTCCAGAGTTCAACAAATTACCTTTTTTTCATTAAATAACAAGTTTTGAAACTTGATTGGGAGCAGCGTTCCGTCTAAGCTGAGTGAGTGTGAGCTACCTCACAGATTTTTAGCCTCCAGCTCACATTTTTGTCTTAGCCCAGGAAGGATGGCTTCAGAGCACACTGATCTATGCAGGAGCCAAATGGCTTGCTCGCAACTCTAATGCCAGTAGCTCACAAAGTAGATTTTTTGCTCACAAGACTCCACGGCTTAGAGGGAGCGTTGATCGGGGGGGGTATGGCAAAGTGGCGCTACAAGGAAGACCATTCTGAAGTCAGTTTGTCATTCTCTCTCTCCGTAAACGTGCAGGTCAGCAAGGAGAAAACAAAGTCACTCTGGTCTTTTTTCTGGGAGGTGTGACGTATGCCGAAATCGCAGCACTCCGGTTTCTGTCCCAGATGGAAGATGGAGGCACCGAGTATGTCATCGCGACAACAAAATTAATCAATGGGACCAGCTGGATGAAGTGTCTGATGGAGAAGCTGGAGGCGCCACCTTTCTAACACTGGAAGTCTGTACAGAAATCACAGGGCCCCTTCTGGTGTCTTCAAAAGAAGCAGAGGAATATACTGGAGAGGGGAAATGACCTTTGGTATTGCCACGGGGTGCAATGCACGAGTCCTGCAGTAGAGGGCTTTACTAGGACCTGAGGCCTCTGGGAGAGGGAAGACTGTAAGGGAATTAGTGCATTCCTCCACACTGGTACACCCTGTTGTCTTCAGTAGACTTAGAAGGGTGTAACTGAAGACGGTACTGCAAAAGTCACATTTAAGACTGATGTCTATTTTTCTCACCTTTCTCTGTTGCCTTCCTGCTCCAAGTTCTGTCCCTTGATACCCTAATCACGCTCCCTCCCCCCAAATGTTGCCATCTTGGTAGACCTGTAGGCTGTTCCCTCTTGGGCCACCAGTGAATGTATCTCTCAATGTTGTCTGTACCAGAAAAAAGAGGAAAGTATACCCATACCACATGTAAAGATATCTGAATCCTTCATTTGATGTCAGTGTTTTCCTTACACGCTTCAGAGATCCGTTGTAAATGTTTCCAGTAAAGATCATGCTATAGAGTGAGAAGGAGCTGCGGTGGCTCAAGTGGATAAGACGCTGAACTGCAGGCTGTGGAAGGTCGGTAGTTCTGCAGTTTGAGACCCGAGTGTGCCGCATGACGGAGTGAGCTCCCGTCTCTGGCCCCAGCTCCTGCCAACCTAGCAGTTCGAAAGCAAAACATTGCAAGTAGATAAATAGGTACCACTTCAGTGGGAAGGTAACAGCGTTCCGTGCACCTTGTTTAGTTATGCTGGCCACATGACCAAGGAAATGTCTTCGGACAGCGCTGGCTCTTCGGCTTTGAAACGGAGATGAGCACCGCAACCCTAGAGTCGGACTCGACTGGCTTTCGAGCAAGGGAACCTTTACCTTTACTATAGAATGAGAAGAGGATGGAACAATTTTGATGCCCGCATTTTTGTTACACGTCTGTCAAGACACGTAGCTGTTTTTAAAGTACCTGTGTTTGAAAGGGTTAGAAATCTCCTGCCTCTGTAGATTCGGGAAGCTAAAGGTACAGGCTGAAGATGCGACCCAAGTTCCTCTCCAGTGGAGTTGGGATGGGGAGTGGGGTTAGTAGGCACACATTGCATGGTCTTTGATTTCCTCTGAAGAAACAGTCAATACTGCACCTGTATTGGGGGCAAAATACAATTATTTTCACTGCGTTACTCTTGGAGGTGTGTTGGTTCACACCTGTTTTAAGAAGAGAAGATGGCAGAACTCACTTCCATTTGGGCACATTTTCCAGGGCCAGGGGAGAGAAGGATTAACTATAGCTGGGATTGCTGAGAATTCCCTTTCCTTCCACAGAGCCTCACACTTTTCTCAGCAAACCCTGCAGGTCTGCCCTCAGCAGTTAATTTGTGTTGCTTTTCAAGTTCTGTCACGTCCCCTCGTGTCCGTTGGGATGTTCTCAATGGAGCATTCTCTCAGGGTAAAGCTTCTAAATTTGCACTGATGAGGGTCAGCTTTTTTATGCGTGACAGTAATTTTAGGGAAACATCTGTTCTTATTGTTCCATCTTTATATATTTGGTCTTCAGCTTCCCTGCCAGTAGATACTCTTAAAGTTAAGAAGAGAAGAGATTGGATTTATACCCCGCCCTTCACTACCCAAAGGTAACGCAGAGGGGCTTACAATCTCCTTTCCCTTCCCCTCCCCACAACAGACACCCTGTGAGGTGGGTGGGGCTGAGAGAGCTCTGACAGAAACTGCACTTTTTCAAGGACAGCTCTTATCAGAACTATGGCTTGCCTAAGGTCATCCAGCCAGGTGCAACTGGAGGAGTGAGGAATCAAACCCGGTTCTCCCAGATTAGAGTCCGCACACTTAACCACGACACCAAACTGGCTCTCTATACGTAAACAGGGAAAGTCATCTCATAAATAATCCAAGCCCAATTCTCGTGCAGAAAAGAACATGTTTGGAGTGTTGATTTCTATTCATCATAAGAGGGCAAAACCTGATAGATGGGTCTGTTCTCCGCCAGTGCTAGGGCCCCTGCTTTTTTCTCAAACTGGAATTCTTTCCCTTCTCCCATTCTTAGGTGGTCAAGCGTGGAAGGGACCCAGGCTGTTTAGGAGGCAACTGCAGAGGTGCAGCTGTGTTAGGCTGTTGCAGCAAAAATAAACAAAAGTCCAGGGGCATCTTAAAGACTACTGACATTTCAATATGAGGTTTCATGAGTCCCAGCTTCTGTTATGTGTAGAAATCAAGATGGGAATCTTTATGGAGAAGATTCTGGAATGAGGGGAGATTGAAGGCAGAGAGTGAATTCCTTCATTAACCTTTTACGTATAAATTCTCTTTGTGGGGAAAAAGGAGGTAAATGGTTAGGTGTGGATCTTGTAATAAAACCTTTAAGAGATTTCATTTTTATAGGTAAAGGTTTTTACCTTGCTCGAAAGCCAGTCGAATCCGACTCTAGGGTTGCGGTGCTCAACTCCGTTTCAAAGCCAAAGAGCCAGCGCTGTCCGAAGACGTTTCCGTGGTCATGTGGCCGGCATGACTAAATACCAAGGCGCACGTAACGCGGTTACCTTCCCACTAAAGTTTTATAGCGGCTTCTAAATTGTGAGCCTACGTGTGGCTTGATGTTGTAAAGATGTCATCTTCTTCCCTAATCTGTTCTTTGGCCTGCTTATCTCTAAGCAACTTTATCTCAGTCAAGTGTCTGTTCCATCCTGATCTCCAGGGCTTTTTTTGTAGAAAAATCCCAGCATGAATTCATTAGCATAATAGGCCATACCCAACAGCAGGAACTCATTAGCATATTAGACCATACCCTGACAGCACAGCTCATTTGCATATTAGACTGCAACCCCATGTTACCAGAAGTGTGGTCATTCAGCCACACCCGCCTATTGCTTCTTATTCTCTTCCAGGGTGTTTTTGCATGTTAGGCCACACACCCATAATTGTAGCCAATCCGAATGAGTTTCTGCTGTTGAGTGTGGCCTATTATGCTATTGAGTTCCTGCTGGGCGTGGCCAGCTTGGGAGCCAGCCGGAACTCCGTTCCTCTGCGTTCCTGCCCAAAAATAGCCCTGCCGATCTCCCATGAAACATGCAGGGAGACGTTTTCTTTTTCTCCCTAGGAAGAATGCAGGGTGTACTCGGAAAGGGGGGTAAGAGTGAATTGCGGTTGAGAATAGAATTGGTGAGCTTCCTTGTGGAATCCTAGACCCTGACCTTTTGTCTGTTTTATCCTATAAAAGAAGAACTTTGCATCTTCTTCAGAATACCAGCTTGCTTGCTCTGACTAGCTCGCCCCAGAATGGTCATACTAATAAAAATGCATGCAGTTTGCCTGCCCAAAACCTGAGTGACGGTTTTCTGTCCCAGACAGAACTAAGGGGGAAAGGGGGTAAGTGTGTCATGTTAGCATTTTGAAAACTCCCCTAACAGAAGCTTGTCTATGTGTGTCTCTGCATACCCAAACTGAAGTGTGCGTGCACACACAACCTTATACGCAGAATAAAACTTCATGGGTCTTAAGGTGCCACTGGCCTCAAACTTTGTTCAACATAAAGCCCTGTTTGCGATGCCATCTCAGCCATGCCAAAAGGGATGTCCTAAACAGCCTCGAAAACAATTCTGGCATAAGAAAGCCGATAAAGGGGGTGCAGTTGTCATCACAGATGAACTGGACTGTCCACAGGTGGCCCAGAAATGTGCAGCATGCAAGCAAGGAAGGAAATGGACTTGAGACCTTTTAAAAACAGAAGCTGTTGCAATAAGGGAGCGGTGCCGCAGGCAATACGACGCCTGCGGTTAACATCTGTAGCGAACAGCCATAATGGCTGTTCGAATCCCCACCACGGCCAGGTTGAGCCCCCGTCCCAGCTCCCGCCAACCCAGCGGCTCTAATAACAACAGAGGAATGGGTACCTGCCCTAGGTGGCTGGGGACACCCTCCTCCTGGCTCTGTGCTGGGTAGGCGTTTGGCAGCAACAAGGAAAAGGAGACGCGGCGGCGGCAAGAAAGAAATGGCGGCGGAGAGCGACCCAAGAAGGCAGCAGCCAGATCGGGCGGAGCTGGACCCGGAGCAACGCGCTGACACGGGACGCAGCGCGGCAGGAGCCGTTGGGACATTGGCCGAAGCTGCGCCCGAGACGCGACGCTCCGAAGGAGAGAAGAAATCAAGAAAAAATGCCTGCTCGAGTCTGGTTGTCAGCCATCCGGATCGCTGGAGAAACAACGAAGCTGCTGGAGAAGAAACACTATGCCGTAAAAAGGGTGCTGGTAGGATATCCCCTCCCCTCACTGCATTGTGGCCCTAGATAGGTATCAACTACATTTGTAGTACACTGTGAACCACTCTGAGACCCATTTGGGGTCATGCATTAGGGGTCATGGGCGGTATATAAATCACATGTAAATAAAATAAAAATAAAATAAATACACTGTTATAATGGCTTGGGTCCAGTGTTCCCTCGAAGCTGAGTTAGTGTGAGCTAGCTCACCGTTTTTTAGCCTCCGACTCACACATTTTTGTCTTAGGAAGGATGGGGCTCCAGAGCAAATTAATTTATGCAGCAGCCAAATTGCTTGCTCACAACTTTAATGCCAGGAGCTCACAAAGCAGAATTTTTGCTCACAAGACTCCACAGCTTAGAAGGAGCATTGTTTGGGTCCCACAAAGATTTCCACGGGTGCACAGGGGTGTGCGTGTGTGATTTTTGGCAATCCCCTTCCCTGTGGGAGACCTCGAATTCCCCTCCCTCAGCATTTCAGGAGGTGTTTTAGACTGCTGCAAGAGTGAGGAGCAGTGTTCCCTCTAAGCTGAGTTAGTGTGAGCTAGCTCACAGTTTTTTAGCCTCCGGCTCACACATTTCTGTCATAGCTCAGGAAGGAGGCCTCCAGAGCAAACTAACTTATGGAGTAGCCAAATCGCCCCCTCACAACTTTAATGCCAGTAGCTCACAAAGCAGAATTTTTGCTCACAAGACTCCACAGCTTAGAAGGGAGCGTTGGTGAGGAGTTGCCTCCTTTCACCTGTGAAAATTCACGTGGGATCCAACCCAAAGGTATGGCGCTACAGCGATCTGTTTAAAACAGCCTAAAGAATGCCCTCGGTGTGGTGCGGAAATAACAACTGCACAGGCCGAGGCAAGGAAAGCATGGAGGAAATTGTGTGGGTGCTCTGTTGCATTCCAGCAGCAACAAGATCTACATGGGAGCAGCATCTGTGTGGAAGCGCGATCACTGGTTTGCTCCTTTGACGCACTATGCACGCATGCAATTTTGCTGAATATGATACAGACAGCCAATGTCCCCAGCGCTCAATCTGTGAGAGGTTTTGTGTGAATGAAACACAGTCGGTACGATTCCATGGTGGACACGCAACTCAGATCACGTACGCCTGAAGACACCCTTTATCTGACAGGTAACAAACCCTCTACTAATGTTATTTGGGGCTTCTAACGCTGCCTGTTGTCTTCCGCCCCTTTCAACAGAAAGCATCTCTGCAGCAAGTCCGGGCTTCCTGCAAGATGCATTATAGC